AAAGGCTGGAGAAGTGGAGCGGTGGCTGAGAAGAGGACATTGAGACAGTGGATTGAGTGAAGCCTCCAAACATGCAAAGGTATTTTTTGGCATTATTCCCTCGTTTAATGGGGTCTTTTTAGGGAGTTTCGGACGGACTGCTCGACTTGGCTTCTCAATCGAAGGATCCGGAAACGGTCTGCAATGACGGCTATGTGCCGCATCAAGTATCACGCATCCGGAACAAGCATTATCAACGGCAAGGTTAGTATTTGGGCACTATGAAGATTTGTTTCTTTTCAGACCAGCTCCATCCGATTCTCACAGCATCGGAAGGCTCTCGAAAATCATAGGGAGGACCGGATCGACCCGAACATTGCTGCGATTCGACGAAGCGGGCGAAGGAGATGAACAAGTTCAAGTTTGTGGTTTTATTTGATCCTTTATTGCCTTTGTCTAGGTCTATTCTGGGGATGTTTTCGTGTCCATCTGGCCGTCTTCACATGGGCCATCTGCCGGTCGCGAGTCTAAACACAATTCCGATGTGCTCACAGAATGTTATCGACTGGCCGGATATGAGGTAAATCTTTGTTTTTCTCTGCAAATATATTTCGTATTTAGATACTGGGTCAGAGTGGCTGGGACACATTTGGTCTTCCGGCGGAGAATGCAGCTCGTCAAAGGTCACATCAACCCGACGTTGACTCGAATTCGGCATCCGGATCAGACAAGGTTGATCTTTTCTCGATTTTCGGTGCTTTTCGACATATTGGGTTCTTAAAAAATCGTTTGAAGACTGTCATGGGCGAAAAAATTCGAATTTGAGCGGCATATGAAGCTCTGAAATCCTAATATTTTTCCGTGGCTTTTGCCGCGAAAAAGAGGCGATATTTCTATAATATTTCGTTTAGGTATATCCTGGCATCCGTCTCCATCTGGCCGTCTTCACATTGATCATCTGCCGGTCGCGAGTGTAAACACAATTCCGATGTGCTTGCCCAATGTTATCGACTGGCCGGATAGGAGGTAAATCTTTGTTTTTCTCTGCAAATATATTTCGTATTTAGTTACTGGGTCAGAGTGGCTGGTACGCATTCGGACTTCCGGCTGAGATTGCTGCTCGTGAGCGGGGAATTGATCCACGGTCTCGTCGTCTTTCTGATGTGGTGGTGGGCCGATCGGACATTAAAATCCCGACGGCCCCGCTTGAAGTACTTGATGACATCAAGGTTCGTATTTGTTAAAGTAAGAGTAGTGGTTGTCCAAAAACAAAGCTCTCTATGCTAGGCTTCGCTTCGTTTGCTTCGTTTGCTTCGTTTTTCAGTTTCATTACCTGCGTGGCTTAGCTTCATCGCTGCTTTGCTTGGCTTAAGTCCAAGTTTAACCTAGCTTTAAAGGAAGCTTGGCTTAGCTTGAGAGAGACTTTGCATTACTTTAGATGAGGCTCATGTTTTGTTTAGTCTATACTTTGGTTTGACATTTTGAGACGTATTTTACACTTTTTTTTGCCGGTTCCGGATATAAATTCCGCAAAAGCTAAAGATGCCATCTTTTTTGTAGCTGTTTACTTTCAGTTGTTATATAAAATTTGATATTTCAGGGCCACTCCCCCGCCACGTTGCAGGATGGCCAACGTGACGTTGTTCACCGACGTGATCCACGGAAGCTCGGATCGACATCTCTTTTTGTTCTCGGCCCCGATCATCCACTGGTCGACAAGGAAAGCAAGAACTCCACATGACCATGTCGGTATTCTGTTTTGAAGGCTTTTATGATCGTTTTTTGCAGATCGTCTACCATTTGATGTGTGGAATGGAGTGACGGGTGCCCACTTTCGCTCATAATCGACTACACCAAACGGGAGCGCGCGAGCGGCGCGAGCGCGGGGCCGATCGGACGTTGCTTACCCGACCGCCCTGGTTGGAGTGCTTGAAGAGATCAAGGTTCGTATTTGTTAAACTAAGAGTAGTGGTTGTCCAAAAACAAAGCTCGCTATTCTAGGCTTCGCTTCGTTAGCTTCGTTAGCTTCGTTTTTCAGCTTCATTACCGGCTTGGCTTAGCTTCATCGCTGCTTTGCTTGGCTTAAGTCCAAATTTAACCTGGGTTTATAGGCAGCTTGGCTTAGCTTTCGCCAGACTTATAATTACTTTAGCTGAGGCTTAAGTTCAGGCTTAAGTTTTGTTTAGTCGATACTTAGGCTTCGCGCTTTGCTGATTCCACAATAGTCTATGCTAGCCTCCTGCCCATCTTTCTCCACGATTACTCAATCTATTCATTCGGGATTTCTAGAAAACAACACCTTAATCCAATCAATTTATCACTTTAAAAATGTTTCTTTTCAGGAAGATCCTACTGGCGCATGACGGTGGTCGACACGTTGGGGGCTGATCGGAAGTTTTTGACCCGACGCCCCCGCCGACGACGACAGGACGGCCGATCGGACAGCAATTTCCCGACGGCCGTGTGAGAGAGCTGATATGATAAAGGTTCGTGTTTGTTAAGCTAAGAGTAGTAGTTGTCCAAAAACAAAGCTCTCTATTCTAGGCTTTGCTTCGTTAGCTTCGTTAGCTTCGTTTTTCAGCTTCATTACCGGCATGACTTAGCTTCATGGCGGCTTTGCTTGGCTTAAGTCCAAATTTAGCCTGGCTTTAAAGGAAGCTTGGCTTAGCTTGAGAGAGACTTTGCGGTACTTTAGATGAGGACTTCTTAGATTTAGACTTAGGCTTCATTCTTAAACGTAGTTTACTGCGTAGAGCTTTTGGTTTGGCTGATTCCACAATAGTCTATGCTAGCCTCCTGCTTCTTTCATTCTTTCGACAAAACAACCACTTAATCCAGTCAATTTATCACTTTCAAAATGTTTCTTTTCAGGAGGCGGCTACTGGCGCAAGATGGTGACGAGGCCGAGCGGACCGTGGCTACCCGCCGGCCGGCTGCTAGGAGGGCAGCTATATGTGGTTCGTGGTTAGCATCAGTAGTACTAGTACTAGTAGTAGTTTACCGAAAAGCGATCGAGGGTATCTAGAAACTCAAGCGCGGCTTCTTCTAGCTTAGGGTAGAATAGTTTGGAGTTTTGGGGGGGTGCTTACCATTGATGCATCCACATAATTATCGATGTGGCCGCGCATCAACGCGACAGATACGCAGACGACGATAGAGCCGACTCAATGCCGAGAAGGGGCACAGCTGCTGGCTTCACCTCCCGATCGACATTGAGCACTTGTTCGCCAGCGGAGCATCGACTGCAAGATATTAAAATATATGAATTTGAACCAAAGGTTTTCTATTACTAAATTTCGATTGTTAGACGCATACCGGGGCCCAAAAACAGGGCTTTTGCTTGGGAGGCTGATAGCGCGCCTATAGAAGGCGGATCGGCGCAGCCGGCAGCCGAATGCTCGCAGCAATTACGACATCTCCGAAGGGCCGCCATCCAAAACTTCCTGAAATCTTAAATAGTTTATTCTTCATTTGTTATTGAAAAGTACAACACGTGAAATAAAGCCTTTCTACATAACTAATTGTTTGCACACAACGCAAATATTTCTTTTAGAAAATCTGGTATAATAAAACTAGTAAAACTGAAATGATAAAAACTATTTTACCTGCTCTAAGACGTCGACGCGGGCCCGTCACCACGTATTGAAGGAAGATGAGGATCGTCGTGCAGTTTCTTCGTCGCAATTCGCAACTGTATTCTCTTGTTTCTTTGAATTCTTGCAACTTTTTTACGGATTTTGACGTTCATACCCGCCCACTCAGCCCATATTTTTTTTTTGAATAGCAGGGTTTTCTAATTCTGAAAATATATGAATAGGCTATTCATTATAAGGAGGCAAAAGGGGTCGAACTCGACAAAAAGGTCGGCATGGGGGGGTCTTCAGAGGCCCTTCTACTGACGGGGGCGCCGGTTGCCCGCGGGACTAAGTAATGGTAACGAATGCGTTTCAGGTTTTGATACTGATTCTTGGAATGAAATATGCAATCAACAAAGAAAAATAGGAATAACTTTTTGGAAGCAGTTTTCGGAGCTATTGATGTTTGGGGGGGGGCATCTTTTTTTGGGGGGCTTTTTCTAGCCTAAGCTTGTCTCAAAGCCTAAGCTAACCAAGCCAAGCCCAGCCTAAGCCAAACCTAAGCCGAGCCTAGGCTTAAGCCCAAGTCTAAGCTAATCTTAAGCTAGCTCTAGGCTAAGTCTAAGCTAAGGCTAGGCTAAACCTAATGTAAGCCTACACTAAGCCTAAGCTAAGCCAAAACCAAGCCTAGGCCTAAGCTAAGCTTAAGCCTAAGCCAAGCCTAGGCATAAGCTAAGTCTAAGCCAAGCGTACGCAAAGTTAAAGCTAAGCCTAAGCCTAGGCTCAGGCCAGCAAAAAAAAATGCCCCCCCAAACATCAATAGCTCCCAGTTTTCAGCGCAGAAAAAGTGTTGTTTTTTTGGGCCGATTTGTGAATCAAAGGTAGCGTGGTGTTTTTACAAAGTGATTACTTGCGAAGGGGGACATTAATTAAGATTTCTGGTAAAGTCGAAGAGATAGATAAAAAAAGTAAATAGTACTAATATAGCTGCTGAAAACCTTCGCGAAACGTCGGCATCAAGGGGGCGATAACTGGCATTGTATGCTAAACGGTGGACCTTGCGTCAATAGGATCGTTCGGAAATCAACGACGCTCATTTGCGACGCTCATAATTTTGAAGCTATTGATTGTTTTGATTTCAGATATCGATACCCTCTTCGTTTTTACCTTTTTGAAGAAGCGCTTGAGTCTCTGGACTTGTTTTACACTTTGACCGAATTTTCAATCGTTAAAACAGTAGTGAATATGTTTTTAACGGATTCATCATGAAACATTAACGTCATCAAGATTCGAACCTCAGATTTCATTTTCAGCATGGCAACTGATGGTTTGACCATAACACTCGGTGCGTTATTGGTTCAACGAATTCTACGGCCGAACGCCATTTCATCGTGGACAAGGGTGTAAAGAGTGCTTCTGGCGGTGGCACCTCGGATTACACGTGAAATGCTGGCTGCGTTTGATGAATTTGAGGCAGAACCTCTCCATGTGAGAATTTTCTTTGTTTTTTTTAAACTGTGTCTTAGATAATTTTTCGGCGATTCGTTGAGCAAGTTGAGGCGCAGATCCCAGCAAACACCCCCACGCCCGCCTGGATACGCTTCAACGTACGCCGGGAAGGTCCGATGCGCATACTTCACTTCGTCTGGCGCATGGCGAATCCCGCCGCGACCATTGGAGAGCAAGCATGGGTACGGCTATTGCGACAAGCCGCGGTGCCGGATCGTGCTGATGGTCGATATGGGCGGCGCACCCTCGTCTGGGCACGCGGATCATTCGAGGTCTAGTTTTGAAAACACTGCCCTTTGCGTTCCTGGCTGTGGCTTATCATGCCGAGGAGGTGCCTGAGGGCATTCTTGGTCGGATTTGGGTTCTTTAGGATTCTGCGAAGAAACCAGTTTTTCCCTGACCGGTAGCCTGCTATTTGAATATAGAGCTTTTTTTATTCATTGAATTATATAAAAAAACTTTCAACTAGTTTGAAAAATATTTGCGAAGCCGAAATTTGTGATCTTCCTGAATTGATCGATAAAAAGCCTAAAGAACCCATATCTGGTATACTAAGCGGCTGTGGGACGGAAATATAATTTTTGTGGAATTTTTGAAAGTCATATTTATATTTAGGAGTCGGGCGCGTCGATCTGCGACATGTTCAATCATTGGGGAGACTGGATCGAAAACTAGCAAGTTTACAACGAAATCTTCTGCGCTTTCTTTTTTCCTCTTGATCTGAACCTAAACGTTGTGTTTGTTTGTTGTGATCGGCCTAAACTTTTCTTATTCTTTTTTTTATGATCTAGCCAAAACTCTAGTGGCAACGGGAAGAGGAGTACAGGGTCTCAGGGTACATAGTAGTTTCGCGTAAAAACCAAGTACGACGCTACTCGGTTAGTAAAGCGCCAGTTGGCCGGAATTCAAATGCGCCCGATGGCGCTTTTCTTAGAAAATGGGTCCTGGCAAGACTTGAAATTCCGCGAAGTAGCGCTTTTTTGCGCCAATAGCGCTTTTGCGCCGGTTGGCGCTTTCCACCCGAATATTGCGCCAGTCGCCCTATCGTCTCTTGTATACAAACGTAGTAGCGCGCTACCTGGCGCCTGCATCATTTTGGCGCGCCAACTGGCGCTTTACTAACCGAGTAACAACAGTCTCTATCCAGTCCATCGTTTATCTTTTTTGCTTTGCTAGAAACGGGCAATAAGCTAGCTTATGCACTGGGTCGCATTTTGCGCAAAACGCTCCAATTCCACGTCTTGCAAAACCTTCTCGCCCCGACCCCGATTCTTGTAAAACTAAGCCCTCATTTCATAAAGCAATGGAATCCCTGCGATTTTCTACAGTTTTCTTGAAGGCTAATTTGTTGCGAATTGTGCTGTTTTTTTTGATACGTCGAATAAAGCCTACCTAATTGCCCACAAGAAACAATTGCGGCATTGCTATGCATGCACGATATCGCTCGGCCGCTTGTCACACAGTCCTTCTGACCTGCCACAGGACAGCTGATCGCTCGCAGTCTTTTTATGAGTTTAATATTGAGCGCTGATTCCTTTTTGATTTTTAAGGTGCGGTTAGGTTCAATTCGATTATAGTTGTTATTCTATTTAGTTATTCGCTTTTATTTGCGCAAACCATTTTCTTTCTGGGCTCCTACACCTTGGAAATTCTATTTTTTAAGATGATTAGCCGTAGACAGGGGCGTACGAGGGGGGCAACAGGGGCAAGTTGCCCCCCAAAATCGGCCGAAGGCCGAAAAGTTCATAAGGGGGGACCCTTATGATTTTTTCAATAAAAATTTTTGCCTGCGACGCTGTTTATTACTGTTTTTAAGACGGTTTTTACTTCGATGAAGCCTATTTTTCCGAATTTTTTTTTGCCTGCGGCGCTGTTTTTCATTAGTGTGTCAACTGTTCATATAAAATTTTCGCCTGCGGCGCGTTTTCTGCGCCGGGGGGGAGGTCGACAAACAAAAACACAAAAAAAAAAGACAACAAAAAATTTTCGAGTTGCCCCCCCCAAAAATCGGGTTCGTGTACGCCCCTGGCCGTAGATGACGGCGGCGGGCGAACAAACGATATGGCGTGAGCTTGGGTGCGGGGCGATTACCGGCATCGTCGTCGATTTCGGGCTGTTCCCGTTGGACAGGCTGAAGACGCGCCTTCAAAGTGCCCAGGGATTCACGGCCGCCGGCGGGTTTCGCCATCTTTATAGGTATTTTATCAGAGGAAATTGGATAGAATTGTGCTGTTTTGAGGGGAATCGGCTCGCTGGCGATTGGATCTGCGCCCGGATCGGCCATCTTTTTCGTCACCTATGGACAGGCACAGAAATGGGGTGGCAATGGTGGGTTTATGGCATAAACTTTATGCAGTCTTCAAATCTTATTTTCCCCTTATTAATAGCTTTTTAACGTTGTTTAATTTGAAATAGCTTGAGTTTTAGCGTATTCCATTTTATTTATTTTGTTAAATGGATTAGGAATCTATCGAATCCGCTTTAACTTTATTTAGGTTGAAAGATTTAGCTAAGCAAATTTACTGAACAGGCCTTTTTAGCGTTTTTTTTAGCATCAACGCGTTTTATTTAATTTTTTTTCAGTTGGTGCGATGATATTTTAAACACAATTTCATTTTATCGAACTTTAGTCGAAACAGACTTCCTTTTTAGGCCTGTTTACGAACTCTTTTGTTGATTCAGAAAACGGCGTACAAGAATTTCATTGAATAGATTTATTTAACAGACCTTTTTAGTTTTTTAGCATAATCGCGCTTTATATAATTTCCTGAGATGATTAATAATATTTTTAACGCTTTGGCGTGTTGACGGACATCTTTCTGGGTCTGTCTGGGTGAAGACGGACATCTACCTGCCTGGGTGCCTGGGTGAACTGTGCGCGTGTACAATTCGAGTGCCCACCGAGTGCAGCAAGAACGAATGCAGGCATCAGCCGGAAAGGTATCTGCTGTTAATAACCGTGATTTCCTCTATTTTTTTCAGGCGTCCCTTCCCTCTTCAATTCGGCAAATCATCCAATCTGACGGTCTGAGGGGGTTGTATCGAGGATTCGGAAGTACTGTGGCCCGCGAGACCCCCTTCTCCTTCATCCGACATCCACTCTGGGAGGCGTTGAAGCGGTGCAGGACCAAAGAGGTTTGTTTTTTAGATAGAAGTCCGGTCCCGTTTCAAGACCGATACAGCTACCTTGTACAGAATTTTTCGCTGTTTCAAATGTTCACTGGAGAATCGGCGAAACGATTAGACTGTAAAAAAAAGTGATGAGCTTTTTTTAGTGTAAATTGCCTTCCCTAGCGAATTTCGGGTTTTTTTGGCTCCCAGGCTTCGTAACTTTTTCAAGCTGGTCTTCCCGCTGATTATAAAACATAGGTTTTAACCTGCAAAAAAATCCTGCACAAGATAGGATAAAAATGAGTGAATTTGAAGCTCCATTGACACCAAAAAAGTATCGTTTTTCAGATGGGCCCTGTTGGACGAGTCGGTCAATTCTTCCGAGACCGATTGAGATCGTCGCGGCCCTCGAAAATCATTGTCAGTGACGATGGACTGCGTTTTTCAATGATTCTTTCCTTGTTAGGTGCGTCAAAACGAGCTTCGGCAGACGATACTCGTCTTTGGCGCCGCGTTGAGCGTCATTATGGGGTGAGTGGCGTTGAATTTTTGGCGGCCGGCTGGAATTTTTGAAAACCTCTTGAAAAATCGCGCAAAAAGCGGCTTGGTTTTTCCTCAAATAAGCTTTGGTATTTCTTCCCAAAACACGCCCTTTTTGGAGATTTGTTTAGTGTAAATCAGAAGAATTAAGCCTTGTGGTTCTTTTGCATTATCGGGGGGGGGGGCAACTTTTTTCTCGGCATCCGATTTTTCTAATATAAATCGCTAGCAAGTTTTTTTTTAATTTTACTATTCCTAAACGGCAAGGAATTTGCAATTTTTGATCAATAAAATACCAAAAATCGTGTTTTCGACCAAAGAGGGCCGATTCACGACGAAAATTTCAACTTTTTACATTTTTAAGGGGGGTTTTAGATGTTTTTCCGCTTAAAATACCGACTATTACGTTAGTGGGCTTATCTTGCCTAATCGAAAAAGTTGCCCCTCCCCCCGATAATGCGAAAGAACCTGAAAAAGTTCGTTACAAGATTTACATTACCGAAATCGCGCCTCGTTTTTAAGAAGAGGCTTCTTTTGCAGGCGGGCCCATTCAATCGAGTGCACAGCGTCTCTCCACCACTGAAGGGAGCATTCCCCCTTGATCACGACAAGAAATGCAAGCTCGACATGTTGAAGTGAGCACCTTTTCAATAAAACCGTGTTTTTCATGGTGGGCGCTGAGCTGTCCTAAAATTCATCTGTCCTCTAGAGTCACCTGTAGCAAAAATTTTTCTATCGTATTACACCAAATTACATGTATTTGAGGCTAAATTTTTTTTAGGACAGGCCTCTGGAAATCATTGTTGTTGATCACAAAACCTCTTTGGTTCTTTCGCATTATGGGGGACGAAGTTTTCTGTTTCTAAATGTCTTCTAGTATTACGAAATGGAAAAGGTTACATTTTGATTAAAAAGAATGATTTTTCGACCAAAAATTGCCGATTTTTACCAAAATTTCGAGTTTTGGAAAGGTTTTTGGATCGTATTCCAGCTTCAAATATACGTAAATTTACTAGAAAGCTTATTAAAACACGTTCTACTTCTGGACTTGTGGCAAAAGAATTAACCCTCCCCCCGATAATGGAAAAGAACCGGGTTTTTGGAAATTGTTTGTACATGTCCATTTTTCAGTTACATGTGTTGCCTGCACGAGAAGAAGCAAAAGAACACGGAATGTCGAGATCTGGCCCGTGGATATTTCAAATGTCGAATGGAGAATGGGTTGATGGATCGAGACGACTGGAATACACTCGGATATGGCGATACAAACCAGACGCAGCACATCAACACGCCAAACAAATAACTAACCACTAATAGAGATTAGTCACTTTCTATTGTCCCGATAAAGAATTATCGCTCGATTTTTATTGTTTCTTAATTTTGCATCATTGCAGTTTTCGACATCAACATCATTGCCTGGTTGATTCCTGATTCTAGACTAGGTGCTTTTGCATTATTTTAAACAGGTTTTCCAGGTTTTTGGATGGTTTTTTACCTGAAATATGGCTAAATTTTACTAAGAATTATTAAATTAATTGTCACCAGGGTTGAAAAGCCGCTTCGCGACTTTTCAACCCTGGCCCCGTCTTATCCAATGAGAATTCACAACTTGAATAATTCTCTCGAACAACAACGCCAAAAATGAAAAAAAAACGCCTTCGGTCCCTTTATATAGGGTTTCCTCACTTCCGGTGCATGCTAATTGACCCCTAACAAAGAGGGGGACCGATATTTTTTACAAAAACCTTATTTTAATATCGAAAATACCACTTTTTCCGCATTTTTGCATGTGTGCAGGCATCGCAAGAACATTACGCACCGAAAGAGGTATGATACATACCGCAAACTCCCTCCCCAGAGCCGCTTTTGCTGGTACACCCAGACGGAAGTTGCATTCAAATGCTCACGCACACACAGACACTATTTTTTATATATAGTAGGATTTCTGGAGTTGTGGGAGCAATTAGCTCCCCCGGATAACGCAAAAGCACCAAATGTAAAATTAGCACTCTTTTTCATGGTTTTTTCTTACTTTTTCTCTTTATTTTCATGGTTTTCCTTGGTATTTAAATGCGGTTTTCGCCTTTCCGCGGAAAAACATCTAAAAAACCCTTAAAAATGTAAAAAGTTGAAATTTTCGTCGTGAATCGGCACTTTTTGGTCGAAAACACGATTTTTGACATTTTATTGATCAAAAATTTATAAAGTCTGACGTTTAGGAATAGCAAAATTAGAAAAATTTTTCTAGCTATTTATATTAGAAAAATTTGGTCCGCCTCCGATAACGCAAAACAACCACATAGCTTAATTCTGCTTTTTTTACGCTCAAAAATCTTGAAAGAGGGCGTGTTAATTGCCGATTTTGGTAGGGGAAAAAGGCGTGTTTTGGCAGAAATGGCAAATATTTAAAGCAAAAAAGGTACCCATAGTAATTTCGTTGTGGTCGCAGACAAAAGATGGAGTTTATTTACGTTAAGGTAGAGGAGAAGGCGGATACCGTCGGAATCTAGTGTGGTAAAGTCGTAGACATCGTCCAGTACAGATGCGGAGTTCTAGTGACGCGCAATACGGAACATTTCAGCTGGATGCCCAGTGCGGTCGGCCTCCTTCCCGACTCGCTCAGAACCCATGGTATCTACAATGATTTGATGCCTAACAAATTTGACCCTCTTTGGCCATTTTTCATCCACTTTTGATAAAAAGTCAAGATTTTCCGTAAATTTTTATAATTTTGACGAATTTTTGTACCGTTTTCCGCTATAGATAATCTCGGTGGTTCCATTTTCTCCAATCACCCCGGGGGAGGAGTTCACTTTGAGAAAATTTTTTGCTTTTGTAACTTTAGAAAAAATGGACCTGTCCCGATTCCTGTGATCTTTTCTTCTCTCCCCCATTTGTTTCCGCATGTTATACTTCCTCTGAACAATTGGCACCACACATTGCCCACTCCCCGCTCTTATTCAACTACTGAATAAAGTATATATATATATATATATATATATATATATATATATATATATATATATATATATAAATTTGTGGGGGTTTTATTAAAGGAAATTCGCTATCTACAAACTGTGCAAAATTATAGATAAATGGTCGTTAAAGGACCATACGGTTCTATACTGTCCATTAAATTGGTCAAAGGCCAGCTTTTTCGCTAGCCTTACAGTCGCCTCACCACCCCACCCCACCCCCCGCGCCCACCTTTCCCCACCTTTGGGGGGGGCCCCACCAGGGTGGCGGGGAAGTATAGTGGATAGATAGATAGATAGATATGAACTTGGAGGGCGAGGGATCTTCCTTTTCGCGAAAAATGGATATAACTACTGACCTGAGTGATCACCTGATTTTCCGCTGAGTAATTCTGAGCAATGATAATGTTGATACCCGTCGGATAGATACTACCGTGGATTTCGGACTCTCGCTCCCCAAGGTATGTTCCGATTTGATAGAGCTGAAGAGACATTGGTGGTCACTGCTAGTTGACTGTCTCTCCCCCCGCTCTCCCTCACTCTCTCTCACTCTTTGTGTCTCTCTCCATATCTCTCTCACTCTCTGTCTCTCTCTCTCTCCTTCTCTATCTCCCTCTCTCTCTCTCTCTCTCTCTCTCTCTCTCTCACCTGAATACTCTGTCCCCTAGCGTTGTTCTCTATCCATTCGATCAATCGTGCCATCATCATCTCATATTCATCAGACAGACATTTCAGTGATTCCTGAAGAAGGGGAAACTAGCAGAGACCATTTGTGGAATGGAGTATGCTCCGGCTAGCATACAGATCGAATATTATGATATCCAAGCAAACGAGCATAGGAATTCCGACCATCTCGCCGAAAACCATCTCGCCGCAAACCTAATTTTGTATGCAATTTTTTTCGGGTAGTTCCAGCCATCCCCCAGGTCACAAAAATGCCAAGAAAGTTGCCGTTTTTCAGGGTTTCTGTGCTCGGACACTTCCCCTATGATCTGAGGTCGAAAACCGAAATGGAACAATCGGGAAAAAAATGAATACAAAATTAGTTTTTCGGCTAGATGGTCTCCGGCTAACTGGTCCGATACCCGAGCAAAGATCATTCATTTGATGTTGTACCTGTTGAAGTTGTTGGGTAGTGTAAATATCTAGAATGACAAGACGACGTCCCTCTCCATTTGGAATCGCCTATAGGAAATGAATGGAAAGTAGAATAGAAAAGAATTACGGATTGAATGATGTGATGGACGAATTGTTGGAAGAAAGGAAGAGAATGGAGACAATCTGTCTCTTTCTCATAGATATGAGAGAAACGGAGGAGAGGGCAGTCGATTAGCTGAAAAGACACGATAGAATGGGGCAGAGAGAGACAGAAAGAGAGGGAGAGACCGAGACAGAGAGAGACAGAGAGAGAGGAGAGAGAGACCTTGATGAATGCGTCCGTGTAGACGTCCAAATATTCTTCTGGAGTCAGTTTGACAACAGAGAGAAGAGCCTGCAAAATCGAACAGCGTTAATGACTAATACCTGACCGGGAGATGTTCCATCGGGGATCCAACAATCTAGCCTCAGATATCTGAGATTGGAATTGATTAGATCTCTCTCACTCGCTCTCTCTCACTCTCTCTCTCTCTGTCTCTCTCTGTCTCTCTCGCTCTCTCTCCCACTCGCTCTCTCTCTCCCTCTCTCTCTCTTTCTCTCGCTCTCTCTCTCTCTATCTCTCTCTCTCCCCACCTCTCATCACCCAATGCCGTCCCGGGACCAAATACGGGATAAATGGCAAAATTGTTTCGTCGAAAGAGATGAGAATTCCTCAATTGAAAAATAGCTGGTGGTATATTCTAAATGAATATTAATCGTTTCTAATTTCTTTTATCTGACCATCTGTGGCGGCCAAAATCTATGGTTGACATCACCAGAGACACGTATTGCTTTCATATTCCTTGTTAATCTCTCGATTATTCCAATCCGAGCCATCCCTCCTTCGTCATTTCTAGATGTAAATCCATACTTACTACAGGGTGTCCGAAAAAAGCCTCCCTCCCTCTAGCGGTCCGCAGAATGCAGAATGATTTTTCTACCATTCGAAAGCTCTCGAAAAGGCGAGAAAAACCAGCGCTTCTAGGTTTCAAAACCTATTTAACATTTGCTTAGAAAGCATTTTGAACTGCGAACCGCAATCAGCCGCATGTCGCAGCCGTTTTCACCGTTTTCCGTCATTAAAATCACCAAAAAAAATCATTAATTCAGAAAACGAAAAGCGCTTGTTTTCTCGCGTTGCCGAGAACATTCGATAGATACCTAAATCGCCCAAAATCGGACACATTCCCAGCCCGCTAGACGGGACCCCAATCACCAACCCGGACAGTTCAAGCCTCAGCGACATACGATGCTCGGGTTGTCGTGTGGAACAAAACCTGTATAAACTGACGTTATCAACACCATTCGTTATTTTCATCTCATCTGATTTGCTATCATAATGCCGCTTTCCATAATGCCGCCTTTCACTATATCGCTTTTCATAATGCCGCTTTTTCAAAATACCGCTTTCGCATAATATCGCTTATTTCAAAATGCCGCCTTATTATATGGGCGCTTTTTCAAAATGCCGCTTTTTTTAGAATACCGCTCCATCCGAATGCCGCTTTTCACCGAGATCGGTGTTATCAAAACAGCAAATTTTTAAACATAATTTTGTTTGTAGTCAGCGAATGGCTTGTAACCTTGCCTGAGACAAACAACTTTACAGCTTTTAACCACGGTCTTAGGTTCTACGATTTGAAGATGGAATTTTTCGAGGCAAATTGGCAAACACTTTGGATAGTTAATGAATAGGGCAGCCAAGGCGCATAGGAAAAATAATTTTGTCCCTGTCCTTGCCGTTAACTGAAAAAGCGGCATTCTGATCGAGCGGTATTTTGAAACAGCGGCATTCTAAAGAGACGGCATTATGAAAAAGCGACATTTGGAGAAAGCGGTATTCTGAAAAAGCGTGAAATTTGTGCTTTTACGCTACAAAAACCACGTTAGTAGGAATTTTTCTGGCTGACCCTGTTTTTCCTCTAAAGAGTCGGGCCAGCCCGGGTCTTAAAAATCGCGTTGGGCCGGAGGGGGCCGGGAAAAATCGGGTTTCCGGGCCGGCTCGGGCGGGCCCGCGTCCAGGCCTGCCTTGAAATTGATGATATGCCGACATATACATACATGGCCATATCGGGATGGAGGGTGTCGAGTTGCCAGTGTGGCGCACTAATTTCGATGCGGACCATTGGCCGAGGGCAATTGCCGATCACGATCTCGACGCCACAGTAACGCCATCTTCCCCGTCTCTGCAACATGTCTGGGTTTACGCCGCCCCCCCCCCATCAAATGCATTAGCACCGTAAGGACGTTTTGCCTTACCGAGTACCAAGGCTTCCTGATGCTTTGAATGGGGGGTGAGGTGTGGTAGAGCGTCACTTACCTGTCCATAAATATTATTGGTAACAGCCACTTCAACGTGAATGCTATCGTAGAGGGCGTCGAGGAAGAATGATTGGCTGGGGAATACCGACGTCGAGAATAACTGAAAACAACCTGACCATCGAATGATCTCTGCTAGCCTGCCTTTCTCCGATTGCAATAATCTGCCCGGCGGTCTATCCATTTCCCCAAAGCTCTCTGCTAGTTGACAGATTTTTGGGGATTGAGTTTTGATAGGGGCGGTCAGTCAAGCTACTTATATTTTTTGTCTCGCTAATTGCCTCTGCTAGAGTGCCCTTTCTGGGTGTTCTATCTAATAAACCAGTGGAAAAAGACCGCTTCGCGGTTCTTTTCCACTGGACCCCCGGCCAGGAACCATGTGTCATACTTTTCTCGCTTATAGGATAGGGTAGCCTCATCTACCGGAACGTACCTTTGAAGCGGCGCGTAGTCGTACCCTTGCCTCGAAGTTCAGACGAGTATTTACGAGACGTTGCAGTCTCCAATCCAACTTTCTATATGCGAATTGTCGTTGTCGACCCGGAGAGGGGGCTTCGTTCTCTCTGACAAGGAGACGTTTTTTAGTGTGGATTGAGTTTTGGGACGAAACAAGATCAATTTTGTGCAGAATTTTGCGCTGATATGGGGGGGCCTTATGATTTTCTTCTTCAAAACTGGCAGCCTGTGGCGCTGTTTATTACTGTGTTTAAAACAGTTTTTACTACTATGAAGCCTATTTTTTTAATGTTTTTTTTTGCCTGCGGCGCGGGGTTTTCATTAGTGAATAAATTGTCCATAAAAAGCTTGAGCGTAACGAACGCTTTATCGAATTTTTTTTTGCTGCGGCGCTGTTACTGACGCGATTTTCGGCTGTTTTAAAAGCGACGACCGGCCGTGAGAGGGGGGGGGGGGAGGTCGCCAAAATCCCCTGCCTCTAATTAAAGGGATCGGGAGGGCCCATGTAGATCCCCCCAAAAACCGGTGAGGCGGGGAAAGGGGGCTCTGCGCCCTCTCCCCTGGCCGCCCTCTCTCGCCCTCTCTGACCCAGTTGGCTACGTGCCAATCATAGATGAGCCCTGATCTACGCGGGCCTTCCTTATCCGTTTAACGACAACTTCCGGTGATTTTACTGGGGAAACTTGAGGCAAATTAGCTTGCATGCAGCTCCGAACAGCGGTAAAATTTTTACAAAATGGCTTTTAAAATGGCGGCCTTAAAGGGGCTCCGAACTGCCAAATCAAAGCCCTTTTGGGAGGGCTCTTTGATTTCTGGCAAATTGTCAGCGGGCGCTGCGGGACGAGAGCACCCACTCTTTCGATTTTTGCGCGAAGTTGTTTTTGTCCGGTTTCTTTGTGAAAACACTATAATTCAAGGATTCTGAGCTCATTTTTGAAATCCTCACTCAATTTAAAATAGTTTTGGTGTTTTAATCATTAAATTTGGCCCAGAAACAGCCGAGAACGTGATTTCGAGGTGACAACAGGCAATTTCAAATTTGCGAGCCTCCCGGGCCCCGGGGTGTACAGGGGCCTCCGACGTACAGGGCTCCGATTTTCGGGCCGTCACTCAATTTTTGGCAGTTCTTAGCCCCTTTAAATCAAAACATGGTTTTGAAAGTTGTTGCCAATTGGACGTTTCAATGGCTTTCGAATGGTGTAAATATCGGTCCGATCCGATACTTCTGCGTCAAGTTAGAGCGGGGTGTGTTTTTATTGGGAGACCCTGTAATGCACGGGGGTTTCAGCTGTTTCCCGGTAAAAGCCGAACCCGAAAAAATAGGACAACGCTACCGTTGAGTGTAGTTGTCGGACAGCCAGTCGGTGTCATGGAAACGGTAGCAACCACTGTGGCGGACACCGCTCATCTCAAAAATGCAACCTAGGCAGATTCGTATATACAACAATCATTTTCACCAAATCACTCTGATTTTGGAAGGGGTTAAATTTTCTACATTTTTCAAATTTACGCCACTTTTCGGAAATTTTTCAACGCGATCCGGGCGAGATAGAGAGAAAGAGAGAGAGAGAGAGAGAGATAGAGATAGGGAGAGAGAAAGATAGAGAGAGAGGGGGGGGGGCAGATAGACAGTGTGAGCATAGAAAACGTATGCAGAGTCTGTGAATACAGCTCAAAATCCCCTATAGCGGCAGCAAAAGAAGCTTTCACCAAACCCCTTCCCCCCCGCCATAAATCTTTTCCCCTCCACAGTCAAACCCGAACCAAAATACACGGCATGAAAAGCCAAGAAGAGGACGAGCAGAAGCGACAAACTACAGAAGAAAAAAACATATTTGAAAGCTAGCGGAGAATGGGAAATATTATCCCGCAAAAAAAAGACATTTTATTTTTGTCGGTCGCCGTCGAAACACTTAATCTGCGAGATAATGAAAATGCCTCAAAAAAAAACTTTGAAAACTCAAAATTAATTTAAAAAACGTTTCAGCTGCGCAGAGCGGTTAGCTCTGAGGGAATTGATAGAAATGGATAATGAAGAAAAGGAGGAGGAGGAATGGATTGATTCCTTTGAAAGGAGAGACGATTGATCTGGAGAACATACAGATGGCATGGGTGAGGGCTGAGGTCAAATATAACACCTCAGGACATATTGCTCCAGAAAGGACTAACAAGGTAGCTTTCTCTCTCTCTCGCTCTCTCTCGCTTCGTCTCTCGATCTCGCTCGCTCTCTCTCTCTCTCTCTCTCTCTCTCTCTATCTCTCTCGCTCTGTCTCTCTATCTCACTCGCTCTCTCTCTCGCTCTCTCTCGCTCTGTCTCTATCTCGCTCTCTCTCTCTCTCTCTCTCTCTCTCTCTCTCTCTCTCGCTTTGTCTCTCGATCTCGCTCGCTCCCTCTCTCTCTCTCTCTCTCTCGCTCTGTCTTTCTATCTGACTCGCTCTCTCTCGCTCTGTCTCTCTATCTCGCTCGCGCTCTCTCACTCTCTCTCTCTCACTCTTTCTCTCTCTCTCTCTCTCTCTCTCTCTCTCTCGGGAGGGAAAGCTCGGATTCAGATGATTCCTTCACGATTCGAAAGCCCTTGAGAAGACGAGAAATCAGGCGGGTTTCGTCTCCTTTAACTATTTGGAATTTTTTTGATATGAAATGTTTTGCCAAAGGGCGTGTTTGCTGTGCAAACATCAGCAGCGGAAAACGAAAAGTGCTTGTTTTCTCACCATATCGAGAGCATTCGATAGAAACAAAAATCGTAACCATCTGACACGACAGCGGACCGCTAGAGAGAGGGGGGGCTTTTTTTGGGTCACCCTCACGTATCCCATTTGAAAAGCGTTTGCCCCCCCCGCCAACTCCCTTGGCGTCATACCGAATATCCGATAGTCCGCGCGTCCTTTCGACTCACTTTACTTTCAGCTTTTCGTTAGACAACTCCGAGCTGTTGATGTTGGGGGTGGGGGCCCTTTTATGCTCTATCCGGCGTAAGCTAAGCAAAACCAAACGTAACCTCGGCTTTATAAGTAGTTCTGAGCTGTTTTTACTATGCCTAAACGTAAAAACATTAGTATATACGTAAAAAAGGGAGGCAATGACCGATTTTAAGGCGAAAAACACGTCCCAATACTAAAAATGCAATTTATTAGAATTTTGTAAAAATTGTGATGCCGGGGTTTCCCACAAAAAAATTTGCTTGGAAAAATTCTGCTTCCGGTTTCTGCGATTGAAAACGTTTTCCGCACAGTCAGCTTGAGTGATTTTTTTAAAGGCGATTCGAGATTTTGACGTCGAGATTCCAAGATTTTACCGTTATGCGATAATATATTCGTAGAAATAGATGGATTCCCGATTTTTCGAAATGCAAAAGCGCCTCCTCGCTAGTGAGCGTCAGCCGATCAATGATGATCTACCCGCGGAGAATTGCCTTCCATTACCCGGATATCTTCTTGTCGAGACTGTTGTGGTCGGTAAACTCCAGGGTGGCCAGAAAAAAAGTGTCTGGTTTGCACTGAAATATCTCGCTAGGGGAAACGAATCGGACCATCGTTACCTTGCTAGAATGCTTAAATATGCTGGGGATGAAGCATACGCACAAGTTGTTTTTTATTTTGTTTTGTTTGGGAGGGGAGGTATAGAAAGGAATATAGAAAGCGAGAGAGATAGAGAGAGAAATAGAGAGAGAGAGAGAGAGCGATAGAGAGAGAGAGAGAACCCTTTGCAACCAAAATTTGTGCTAGTACGGATTTTGGAAGTTAAAGGTTTAATTAAATGCTTTATTCGAACAACGATGCATAATGAGATCAGGCTGAACAAGTTCAAGCAGTTCACTTCTTGCGCTGTTGATGAACATGGAAGAGGAGGGCAATGACGAGGGTCAGGAGGAGGATGGTGGCCATGAGGAGAGTCCAGAGGAAGAAGGATTTCCCTGAAAAATCATTTGGTGAGGCGAAAGAAATGGAGAGAGAGAGCGAGGGGAAAAGAGAGAGAGAGAGATAAAGAGAGAGAGAGAGGGATAGAAAGAGAGTTAGAGAGTGAGAGAGAGAAATCTATCTAATTCACTCACAGCAAAAACCTTTCTTCATCCCACAAACCACCAACGGGTCGTCCGTCTTGAACTCGTCGCAGCAATTGACAAATTGGTCCTAGGAAAAATTGTTTACGGTTTTTCCAGGGTTGAATATCTCTTCAAAACTCACCAAGGTGCAGCGCTCATCCGCGCAATTCCTGACCTCGCCAGTAAGCTCGGTCACCTCGTGGCTGCTCGGTGAGAAACGGTAGAAGACCTATAAGCAGATAACATCTCTCTCCCTCTCTCTCTCTCTCTCTCTCTCTCTCTCTCTCTCTCTCTCTCTCTCTCTACGCACCTTAACAAATGGTTCTCCATCCCGATTCCACAGCTCAAAGATGAAGCCGGTGGCGTAATGAGGGAGGTGGCCTCTAAAAAATAATGAAAAATATAAAAAGTGATTTTTTAGGTTAAAAATGGAAATTAATCGTTTAGATCTTAAGATGAAGTGTAATAAATCAGGATAAAATAGGGTAATTACAGTACTTGAATGCAGGGATGAGGCCCAGCGATTCGGCGAGTGGGAGAACCACGGTATCGTGCTAAAAACCATTTTTCATGATTTCACTTTAAAATGGTTCTTTCCGTTAGAGTACAACTTACCGTACTGTACGCAAGGAAACGGTGTACTGTATGGCAGCTGTCATCTTCGGTGGAGGTGTTTGAGAAGCATCCAAAAGGTAATTTAAGGGGAGCATCAGCCTAAGCCAAGCCTAAGCCAAGCCTAAGCCAAGCCTAAGCCAAGCCTGAGCCAAGTCCAAGCTAAACCTCAGCCTCCTTAAAAGACGCCCCGCTACCGTACCTCCAGGATCGTTGGAGCTCCAGATGGATGGTGTGGAGGAGGAGGCCGGATTTGGTCTGGATCGTTTCTGGATCCGGTAGCCTTCCGGTTCCGCAGATGAATGTCAGGTACTGAAAACGTCCTCTTGCCCTCTCTCTCTCTCTCTCTCTCTCTCTCTCTCTCTCTCTCTCTCCCCTCCCCTTCTCTCTCCTCTCTCTCTCTCTCTCTCTCTCTCTCTCTCTCTCTCTCTCTCTCCCTCTCTCTTGCTGACCTCATAAAAAGTATCCTCCAACTCCTTCAACCCCTGCTTTGTATTTGCCCATTCCGGAACGGGCAGCCCTTCGAATTTCTGAAATTACGGTATTTACAGTAATCCGGTTTAAAGGCCTGATAAACCAAACTCACCTCAATTTTCACAGCCTCCAAATATCCCTTATCCTCAGTTCTCGACGGCGCGTACACGTCACGGATCCGGTCGAACGCTTCTTCGAACTAAAAAACGATAAAATTAACAATTTTCACGCACCGTATCCGCGCCAAAAATCTCCTTATTTCTCGAAGTCTGATGCGGGCATTCCATCCGTGGGTACAGCATCTACAACCTCGAAAAATTAGCGAATCTTTTTGGGGCACAGTACCACATCCTCCTCTCTTGTCGGAAAGGTGAAAACCGGGACGGCGATGTCACGGCGGAACATACCACGGCCAACCTGTTGAAATCGGGTTACGGTATATGGGTCAACATTTAGGAAATAGCGAATTTTCGGAGCTTTGAAGGGACTTTTGCGACGATATTGACGACGACGACAACGATATGCGTGATACGAGAGAATGAGAGAGAGCGAAAGAGAAAGAGAGAGAGAGAGAGAGCGAGAGAGTGAGCGAGAGGGAGCCAGAGAGAGATAGAGAGAGAGAGAGCGCGGGAGCGAGACCTTTAAAGGACCGTGAAAACGAAAAATCCGTAAGAAATCCACCTCTTGGGCCGTCATCAGGCAGCGCTCCTTTGGGGAAGACCGGAAATAGACCTAAAATCGATTTAGAAACAGTTTTTCGGCCCAAAACCGATTTGGAGGCATCTTACCTCGCTCGGCTTCATGCCGTGGTGCAAGAAGCCGGTGCGCACGTAGCGGTTGTTGAACAGCTCGCCAAGTTGCATCCCTTGGACCAGGCCGAGCTAAACAAAGATTAAAACACAATTAAAAACTTTTAAAGTTTTATTTTAAAGGAAATTATTACTAGCTCTCTGCTCGCACTCTCACTTTCTCTCTCTCTATCTCTCTCTCTCTCTCTCTCTCTCTGCTCTCTCTCTAACGTCAAAATCTCACATCACTCAGTTGTCCGACTCCCCTAAAATAGAATTCGGTCGATTCGTTGCTCGAGAATTCGTAGAGCGGGGCCCGGGCTCCATGGCGGAATACCTTAAAAAAAATCTTCTAGCGCTTTTTAACTTTTTGATTACCGTATGCACCTGGACGAGCTGGTCGACGGCAAAAATCGTCGACAATAATCCGGTATGTCGAAAGTTCTGTAGAGATCTTACGATTCTACAGGACTTACGAGGGTTTAATTAGGCGGACTTGGCGGGCGGCCAAATTCTCCCTGGGTCCCGGCGCGCGCCCCCCAGCGGGTCCACCGTATGGCGGCCGCCCTCGGCCCGGGGAAAGGGGCATTTTCCCCAGTCGCTGCAATTTCTCCCTTCCTGGGAAAATTGCTGCCGGTCATTTATATGACTGGTAGGGCGAATTGGTGTTGGTGTGATGTGTCCTGCATCCCCGATACCGGTGACCCCGGCGAGCTCCTATTCCAGAGTGTTTCTCCAACCCTATCCAGACCTAGCGCATTCCCCTTATTCCCAGACCATTCCCCGACTTGTATTATATATGTTCTCCGGTATTTTCTTGTGTATTAATAAACTCTTATTCCACGAGAGTGTCCCTTATCCAGACAAATGCATTACACTACCGCTGATTAGCCGTTCGCGCGTCTTCTATTGGTTCAGGTCTTATCCCAACAAGGGATGCGGGTGGCAAGCCTTCGCGTGGGCGCTATTCTAGTATTTATTACTAGTCTAGCGTAGGGTGCCGCTTCCTTTTGTCATGGTGCGTCTACCAGGTTTCAACCGGGTCAATACTGCATTTGCTGTATAAGCCAGACCTTTTGTAAGTTTAAGCAGACCCTTTTTGGGGTAAGTTTCAAGCAGAAGGTACCGGAGCACTTTTGTGCTAAGCAGACCCAGGTTTTCCCTCTCCAGTCTTTTTTGCCGTGTGATCAGCGGCCCCCGGAAACCCGGGTGAGGTGATCGGTGGGTAATCATGGCCCTGATTGCCGCCCTTCTCAGGTTCGGCATTGCCGGCGCTGAGTTTAACACTGTGAAAAGCAGATGTTAATCACCACTCTAGTTCCCCATTGGACTGTGCGGCATCCATGGATAAGCGACCGAAGAAAATTCCGGCACAAACGGGAGCTGCCCCCTCGAGGCTGCCCGTCCGATGAAATTCCGGCGTGAAAAACGGGAGCTGGCCCCACGTGTCTGCCCGTAGCTTCTCAGATCCAATGGGGCGAGGAGGAGGAGGTTTTGCCTCATCCAGGCCCACGGAAGACTGCAGACATAAAAAGTGGTCTGTAAGCAGCTATCAAGTCAGACGACATGGGAAGGTCGAAGACTAAGCAGAAAACGCGTTCTAGCTCTGCGCTAAACGTAAAAAAAGGAAGCACTTTGTGTTTTCGAGCTTGCCCAGGCACCGAACTTCGGTTCGTAGGAAGCAGACCGCCTTCATCAGTCGTCCAGAACCAGATTAAACTTTTTTTTAGGTTTACAAGACCGCAGCAACGACCCAAGAAGGCAGATTTCGCGCTCCTCGCTGCCCAAGACAGCATTGCAGGCCGGCCCCTCGATGAAAATGCGCATTCGTTGAAGGAAAAGCCCAGAAATGCTACACTTGAAGCAGAAAAGGACAATGAAGAGGCGAATTCATGCCCTAGGCCTTGAGAAAGCCTAGTGGTTGTGTTTTCGTTGTTCCTTTGCGATTATTCGCACGCTTTTTCTCACCCAACGCAGACTTTTCGGCATTTATGCCACCGCGGAAGCAACATTTCCCGCAAAAGCAGATAGAGTTTCTCGTGCAAAACGTTTTCCCACGTTTTGTTTTCCTATTTCTACTTTTCTCTACCTTTTTGGGCCTAGAATTCGACTTTTTCACAGGTTTCGCGCGGTGTCCCCGTAGCCTGATGGACGGCGCCGACCGCGGGATGGTGGCCTCATGCCACTTTTCCCCGGCGTCCGGCCTAAAAATTGTCGATTCTTTGCCCAGAAAGTCTCTATCTCTCTTTTATTTTCCACTCACAACTTTTGTTGTGTGTTCCAGAGTTGCTTCCTGCTGGGAAAACCCAAACAACCCAGATTTGAGCTTTCTCTTCGAGATCGCTCAGGATTTTCTTCCAGAAATGGGAGAAATATCCAGGCATTCATCGCCACAAGTCAGAAACACTCATTCGTGAGTGCGAGCCTTTTGCTCGGGGCTTTTTGCCCACGTTTTACAGAATTCCAGACTTTTTTAGCAAAAAAAGCAGAAGTTTTTGAGCTTTTTTAAGCCAAAAACTTGTTTTTCTTCAATCAAAGCAGTCTCAAGCCCGTCTTCTTCGACAGCAGTCTTCATGACCAACCGCGGACGTTATGAGACAAGTTGGACGAGGAATGGGCGCCGAAGCTGCCGAGAAGATGGTCGAATCGCCAACCCAGAAGCTGTGAAGACCGCGCTAACGCCGGACAAGCAGGCTGGAGGACTCGCGAAAAGGTAATTTGTATGTTGGACCGTTTTTTCTTTTAGTTTACTTTTTGTTTTCGTTTCTTTCGTCTAAATTTTCTTTCAAAAGCTAGCTGTCGATGTACGATTCATTTCGCAAGCATCCCAGTTAGCTCAAAATTCAAAATTTCTTATCGAAATTCAAAAATAACGGTCCTCATACAAACCCTTTAAGCGAATTCAGGCTTTTATCCATCACCCCTAAGCAGAATTGCTCTTTTTTGAGCAATTGTTTCCCCTTGAAAGCAGATTTCAAGTCGAGCTCGCCTAGCGCGCACTCGCAACCGGCATATTGGGCGCTAGCAGATTGCTGTTTGAATGCAATTAGCCGCCCGATCAGCCAAAACCCGAAGCAGAGGTTTTGCGCTCGTTTATCGAGCCAAAACTTTAAATTTCTTTTAGATTGAAGCAGATTGCCTCTCTTCAGCGGCCGCGCGCTTCAGCTCGTGTCAAGCAGCGGTCTGATCAACTGCAGCAGGGACATCGACGAAGTCGGCGTCGAGAAGGATGGCAATGCAGCGGCGTCCGTGCGGCATGCTTTACGGAAACGTAGAGTATTGCGGCAACGTCCGTCCTGCAGGTTGGCAGTGAATTTCTTCATTGCCAACTCACCCTTAAAGCAGGAATTTCTTTTTCCCCTGGGAGAATTCCCATCCAGACCCTCTCTTATGAAGTTTTTCTTCAAATCAGACCTTTTTTGCTTTGAAGTTACTTCAAAGCCACTCAGAGCAAAACTTCGGTTTTGTTTTCTCCGCGCGTTTTTACGTGCAAAGCAGAGGTTTTAGCTATTTGTTGAAGCTAAATCCAAGCAAATCGGTTTTTTTGTGCTTGCACTTTGCCGCTCGCTTGGTATTGCAGATACAATTCAGCGAAACTTTTCGTTTCCCTCAAAGCAGAAAGTTTTCTTTCGCTAATTCTTGTACAAAAAGTGCGAATTGCACGCCAACCAGAATTTTCTTTCCCTTTTTTCCTCTAAAGTGCAATTTGCACATGAATCAGATTTTCCTTTGCCCTCATTATCGAAAAAGTGCTTTTGCACACTAAAGCAGAGCTGCTCGAGTCGATGCGAAGTGAAGCGCCGCCCGATGTGCCGTCAACTCTTCGATGTTCGCGAGCCGCCGAGCCCCCACACGCAGCCCCGCTCTCGCTGATGATGGGACGAATGCTGACGTGTGCATCGCCGACTCAAGCAGCTACTCGTCTTCAAGCCGGACGAGGAGGATACGATATGTAAGTCAGTTTTGCTTTGTTGTGAGCATTCGGCCTTACGCTCCGGCGCTAAAGGCAGATAGTTCGCTGTAAGGTTTGCGAATTCATTTTCTTTCCGCCTGGCCAGGTCTATGACCAAGGCACTCTGTGCTGCCGCGGATTGAATCTCGAATTCTGCAGACTTTACTTCGGGCTCTCACATCGCGTAAGCAGATTTGGTATTTGCCAATGATGCTGCGCGAATACAAGGCAAAACTGCACTTTCATTTCGCGATTCCTTTTTTCATACTTTTGCCGCTAGCTTGCTAGCCCCAGTCCAGACTTTTTTCTATTGGGCATTTGCCTAAAAGCAGATTCTCCTTTGTGTGCTTCTCGCACATCAAGCAGAACTTTTTGCTTTTTCTTTTGTGCTATTCGCACAGTAAGCAGATGTTCCTTTTGTGCTGCTCGCACATACATCAGAAAAATTCTTTTGCCTCAGGCACATGCACCAGAACTTTTATCTTCTTTTAGATATATCACCGGCGTGCTCAGCAGTTTTCAGCGTTCCGTCTCGACGTCGACTGCGGCCCGTACACTTGCGGCCGACCGAGCGAGCGACGAAGGGACAAGCAGAGCGCCTGCAACAAGTGCAGCAGCCAATGAAGATAAAAGCAGACCATGTCGCGCATTCGCGCTATCCAGAACTTTTGTTTTTCCTTTGTGCTTTGCGCACATAAAGCAGAAAATCTCTTTTGCCCTGCCTTTCGAAAAGTGCTTATGCACATAAACCAGAGATGCGTATGCTAGCGCGTAGATGGATTCAGTACCAGCTAACGCCGAATCATTCTTTTGATTCGGTGGATAGGCTGCACTGTCTATCCGTCGCAGTGCCTCATCGCATCTTTCGCCTTCATCCTCAAGCGACGCCTCCATCTACTGCCAGCAGCGCTCCGCTCGGGATCGACGCCGCGGTAGCAGCTCGTCGCCTACGTCAGGAAGCTCGTCTCAAAACAAGGACGAGGAGATCGATGTCAAGTAAGTTGGATTGTTTTGTACTTTGAGTGGATCTGTCTTACGCTTCGGCGCTAAAGGCAGACATCTCGTGGTGTAGTCTGTAGTTTTCGATGCCTTGTTCGTTGGGTGTTGCCTTCTGGCATTTGGCTTTATGCCACCGCGAGCAGGATTTCGAATTCTTCGGACTACACTACGAGCACTCAGCCCGTGTTGATATATTGGGCACATGCTCAGTGTATCTGCGCGAATACAAAACGATCCACTCTTACTGCGCATAGATCTTTCTATTCTTTTGCCGCTAGTCCTCTAGCACAAATCAGATTCTTTTTGCTGCTAGTCTCTAGCACAACGCAGATCTTTTTAGGGTTTGAGTTCTTACTCAATCCAGATTTCTTTGAGTTTTTACTCAATCCAGATCCTTTTTTGAGCTCTTGCTCAGCCCAGAACTTCTTTGGTGCTTGCACCATCCAGGCCTTTGCTTTCCCCCAGATCAGGCTGTTGTCTTCCATGCTTCACG